GCAGACACCTGGGTTTGGTCAGCTGAATTTTTTTTTTTTGCTCCACTGACAACAGAAACTTCTAGGAAAATGGCAAAAGCTAGACTGATGGCAAAGCAAGCCAAGAGCATCTCATCTGCCTCCCAGTACATCTAGCTTGGCTCACCACCTTTACTATTTTTGGACTATGGCTACATAAACACCTCAAGAGAAGAGGTGTATTACTTTGCATACTGGCCAACATAATCAATTCAAGTGCTTCTCAAGAGAAATCTAAGGGATATAACATTTAAAAGAAAATCTTAATGAAGCAGAAAATAACTCTTAGTGCTAAGTCTTACTTCTACACATACTCATACAATTTCTTTAAACTTACATAAAGAGGAGCCTAATTGTAATCAGTAGCACAGCTTTGTAATAAAAGTTGCCTTTTGTGGTGCAAATGTTTATTTCTTTGTCAGTATTAAAATTTATCCTGCAGGCTTTACATTTTATTGTAAACAGCATGAAGAAGCGAAAGAAAATTGCATTTTCTTCATTTCCTTAAAACATTTCCTCAAAACGTTTCCTCTTTGTTGGCTTCTGAGCAAGAAGGATTAAACATCCTTAAGCTCATCATTGGCATCTCCAATAGCCATAATGGAGTAATACTGCATGTATGAAAGACAGAAATGAGCATTAAAGAGACCACTCTTCTAAAATTAAACTCTTGGAAAAAAACAAAGCCAAATGTGATCTTGGTTATTCTGATACATTCAATGGGACTCACTCATCACCAATGAATCAAAACCTGCTGCAGAGAACAAATATTCTTTTTTTGAAGAAGAAAAGAACCAAGATTCTTTATGTTAGAAAAAAAGACCTCAAGAGCAATAGGTTTGTATCATCTAGATAACCACAGGAAGAAGAGTGTTCTACAAGCAGCAGACCCAATAAAGGCTGGTTTCTTATGGACTGAGCCACCTGCTCCCCCCAAACGATTTGCCAACCCCCGGCTTCCCTTTCTTCACAATACCTTCAGTCCCTGTCCTCCCATGTCCTTGAAGCCTCCTGACACATCCTCTGATTGCAATCCGGAGCCATACACACCCTTACTGGACTGCTGGCAGGCCAAATGGAGCAGATAACCACTTAGTTGAGGCTGCAGCCTTCCTTGGGGGAAAAGGGGCATTCATCCAGCTTGCTCTAATCTTGCCACTGACTTTCACAAAACTTGTAGGAACTAACTTGGCTATTGGAGACCTCTGTTTGCCTGTCAAACTTGCTTGACGGTGACTAACAGGATGAAAGATGTTGTGGAAGAGGCAGGACTGATTTACAGCACAGTTGTGCAAGCCAAGCTAAAATAACAGAGGCAAAAATTAAATAAAGACACTCAGTTTAATTGCAGATTGCTTTCTTGACAGCTTGTGCAGTTCATGGTGGGCAATCAAATAATAGGAGATCGGATACAGAAAGTAATGCCATGCTATTGAGCCTAGAAGTAGAAGAGATGATACTGTTTCTATATGAAAAGGCAGGAATTCTGTTAGATAACTGAAGAATGCTGTTGGGAGAAATGAAAAAGCCAATGGCTTTGCTTTCCATCCTTCTCCACCTCCGTGCATGCCATGGATGCTCCCAGTTGACCAAGTTCAGTCCATTTCCAGATTCACTTTTTTTAGACCCATTCAGAATCAAAATAACACCTTTTTTCCATCTCCCTACCCCAAAGCTTAGCCATGCTGCAGGCAGCAGAGAGTGAGTCACACCATGGGAGAAATTCAGATATTCTGCCTTTGTAAAGTGGGGATTGCCAAGGGTTGCACCCTGATGGGTCTGTGGTACTTATACACAGGGTTGGAAACAGGAGTCCACGTGGGTTTGGGGTTGCAGGGATCAAGACGAAAAGCTTCAAAATGAGGGCAATAGAAAGTCACTCTAATTTTCCACTTACCTGGACAGAACAGCTAAGTTACAGGCTGTCTCTGAAAACTTCCCAGAAAGACTGACACCTGCTCCTGGTGCATTTTGGGGAACCTCTCCCACCTAAACACACTTCTCTGTTTCAGGGGCCTCACTTCAGTTAGAATACTCAAGCCGGAAACAAGGACGCTTTTCCAATTTCAAAGAAAAGTTTTTTTCATGTACTCAGAGTGAACTCAAAGTGAACATACCCACTTTGACTGCATCAGGTTTACGTGTGCAAGCATCAAACTGACTCAGAAACAGTAATTTAAAAGCAGCAGAAGGAAGCTATGTGCTAGTACCAGCATACAGTGCCTATAGGTATTTTTAGAACAAAAGAAAGAAAGAAGGTTCTCAATGTAGATAAAAATACAGAAATTTCCACAAAGTGAAGAAGTTTTAATATGACTGTGGAACCCTCCCCTTCCTCTCAAGATTTAAGATACTAGAGTGCAAATTTGTAAAGCAGTTTGTTTTAACTGACTCTCCATACCTTCACAGCTGTTATAAGTACTATTAGCAAAGCAGTAGGTATATCAACACCACTTAACCATTAGTTTTGCTCGTTACTAGTTTTGACTTTGAAAGAGAAGCTTATGTATTATTTGAAACTACTTAAAATTCAAGTTTTCTCCTGTTCACACCTAAAATAATTCTTAAGCTTCAACCGCCAATTCACAAAGACCTTGCTGTTCACAGCACCATGTGTCAGCTCTATGCATTTGCCCACATGCCTACATCGCTCCCAGTGAAGGAGCAAAACTTTGGAGTCTATCCATAAGGATGCTCTCTTTGAACAAGCAGCTACTTCACAAGTGGTGATATCAGAGCAGCTTCTCATTGCAGAAACAGGACTGGAGCCCACCTGAGCAGAGCCACTGGAACAGCACTGCCGTAGCCTCCCAGCATAGCTCAAGCAACCATTTCTCAGAGCTCCAGCCCCAGAAATAGCTCGCTCAGACGAGCTAACTTTTCAGGAGAACACCAGAAAGCAGCACATAACACACAGATGCAACCTGAGATGATGTACCCTGCTTTGACAACGTAAGAACTAGGTAGATGCTAATGTAGTAATAAGATACTCTGTGTGCATTCCTGTGCCTGTTTCCTCACCTTCATAGAGCGTTTCTTGGCCCCTCCAAGATCCTGCAGACCACAAGTCCTCTCTACGCTTCAGACCAGCTCCCTGTGACTATGGCTGCTCTTAACTGTCACCCATCCCCAACAGGAGCGCTTTCTTCTATTCCAACCCCCACACTTCCTGTGCATCTTTTTTTTCTTCCCCAGCCAAGACTTTTATCTTAGAGGTTAGCACCAACTCCTAATTTTTATATTTTATTTCTTTTTTTTTTCCCCCTGCATTTCATATTGTTTCAAACTCAGTCCCCTACTGAGGTATTTAAACTAAAAGAGGGTAGATTCAGACTAGATATAAGGAAGAAATTTTTTACAGTGAGGGTGGTGAAACCCTGGCACAGGTTGCCCGGAGATGTGGTTGATGCCCCATCCCTGGAAACATTCAAGGTCAGGTTGGATGGGGCTCTGAGCAACCCAGTCGAGTTGAAGATGTCCCTGCTCATTGCAGGGGGGTTGGACTAGATGATCTTTGAGGTCCCTTCCAACCCAAACCGTTCTGCAATTCTATGATATTTAAAATCATCTTGTTCTTGCTGAGTTCCTGCAGTTTGCTGCCCTGGTATCTCATGCTGAATAGAAGCCACTGAGCTCTGGTGAGTTACCATTGCACCTGGTCTAAGAGGGAAATGTGCCACTTATGAGCAAATTATGGGCTCCACCACTCAGCAGTTTCTAAATAGTATCAAAATCTCACTCAAACATCTTTTATTGTACATAGAAAGATCCACAAACTGACAAATACATGTGCTGTTAACTGTACTAATTTCAAAGAGATTTTAAAGCAACAGGTAGGATGAGTGCAGTGGTAGCGCTCGTAACAAGCCACAGGTTTCAGAGAACTGAAGGTACAAAAGCTGGATTGCATCCTCTCTTCTGCCACGGAAGCTATTTGGACACCTGAAGGTGTCTTTAGGGAAGTTGAACATGATGCTAACACTCACTACATAGGACCGTTGGATCTAAAGAAACCACTATCAAAAGGATTAGTCACTTCATTGTGCGATCTAACGGAAAGAGGAACAAGGATTTTGCTTTCCTCAAGATCTTGGTTACCAAAATGTGAAAAAGTAGCAGACCTACAAATGCAGCTGAGTAAAAAAAAGGCAAAATAAATGTATGTTTTACTGCAGGCATAAAATGAGTGTCTGCCATCTGCAGCACACTCACTCAACAGCGCCAGAGAAGAAACAGTCCCAAAAGGGTGACACGGTGCAAGATGAAAATCTGACCTAACTAATAACAGGAGGAAATCACTGAAGTAGAACAGTTTTACATCAAGGTGTAGCTACTGCAAACAGATCAAGACAGGGCGCACGGATCCATTTTTGTCAGATGAATACTGTGTGCTCGCGACCAGCTTGCCACCTTTGTGGCCTTCTCCACGCTGTAACTCTGACACAGCTTTTCCTCCTCCGTCAAAGCAAACGCAGAGGATTGCTCTTCTTGTACCGCTCCAAGATGCGTTGGCCAGCGTCTGAATTATTTCAAGTCAGGCATTTTAACGGTTTACGTTACCTGTTTTTCAGCAGTAAAAGCTGGCGTTTTTCAGGAGTGTCCTAGTGGATAACGCTTCCCTAATCTGCGTGACACCAAAAACGACTGGATGACGAAGGACTCGTAGAAAAACCTCCCGACGCACCGCCCGCCATCGCTGCGAAGTCTTGAGGAAATATCTTCACCTCAAGGCCACAGTGACCGAAGGGGTGTCCTGAGGGCAAACCGGTCTCTATAGGAGCCCTCACAGAGACAAACCTTCGCCTCAAAACTGCGGAGAAGAGTCTCAGAATAAATTTATCGGGGGGGGGTAGGCTTTCGCCTGCCTCCGCCGGCCCTCCGCGCTCCCGGAACGATGCGCTCGGGGCGTCGTTTCCGAGAGGGGCGGTGAGGGAAGGACGGGACGGGAAGGGAAGGAGGAGGGCGGGTTTGAGCGCGGTACCGCCGGGCAAGGCGCCTCGGCGGGCGGGCGGAGAGGCCAGCGCTCCCGGTTTGGCGCCTGGGGCCGCCTCCCCCCCTCAGCTTCACCCACCAGACCGCGGGGGAGGATGAACCTGGAGCGGCTGAGGAAGCGGGTGCGGCAGTACATCGACCAGGTGAGGGGGGGGAGGGAGGGAAGCGACCGTTGGGGTTTGCTGGGGAAGGGGCGGCTGGTCCCGCTGGGCTTTCCCCGGGGCGAAGCCCCTCACGGCCCGGCTCCCGGGGGGAGAAAGCAGGTTGTCGCAGCCTCGGTAGCCGGGGAGAGGGAGTGAATTTTGAAATTCTGCCCCGTTCGCCCTGGAAGGGGCGGTGGGCCGGACTCGCCGCCTGCGCGGTCTCCGCTGGGGCCTCCGAGCAGCGTGAACGGGGGATTTGGGTGGGTTTTTTTCCTCGTTTGGAGGAGGAGGAGGGCCGAGCCGTGGGAGCGGCAGGGCTGCCGTGTAGCGAAGGCGCTTTTGCAGGATCCCTCCTTCCCTCCCCGGCTGTTTCCCCGTCGGGCCGTGCTTACCCGGTGGTTATAGATGCCCGGCGTTCCAGCCTGCGACGCTGCTGTTGGAAGGGCGGGCTTGGGTTTTTTTTGTGGATGGATTCAGTAGGTGTGTTGCTGCAGGGCAAAAAAACCAAAAACAACTCGCAACAGGAAATGCATTAATAAATCAGATTAAGCATGGCGTGAAACTGCGCCGCTCTATTTCTAGTTCAAAGACTCGGTACTGGCACCGCTACTGAGAGAAACCCATCCCTTCAGTTAGCACAAAATCCTTTATGTGTGTGGCCAGCAAGTCTGAATGGAAGATTGACTGGGGACCTTATTTTATTTTGGTTTGCTGTGCTCATTTGAGTTAAACACGTTCACCAAGCTGCTTTGCCACACGGCTATGTAGGCACTTGTGCAGTTCTGAGGAAGGGGCGTCAGGAGGAACACGGGACTGCTTCTTCGTGTAATACAGTCAGCTTATAGCACTGTAGAACTCAACAAAAGTCATGTAGTGCCCTGTAGGCCTGGGTTATGCCTTTCTTTTGTGGTCCTGAGAGAGTTATTTAAACCTCGGTTCTTGTAGGCAGCTAATATATATGCGGGGCTTTGGTTTGGTCTGGTTTTGGTGTTTTGGTTTTTTTGTTGTTGTTTTGGTGCATTGTGGGTTTTTTCCTGGGAATGCAGACCGAAACCAAACTATTCTCTTGGTGATTTTGCTTGGCATTCTTAATCCTCACCAAGCAGAGAATGTGGGAACACAGGATAGAAGAGACCACTTAGGTCCTGGAGCGTGGTGCTTTGTGAGGACTAGAATACCATCAGTGTGCATTTTGGAAAAGTCTGCCAAACCTCTACTCCAAAAGCATAAAACAGTCTCTAAGATTGTAAACAAACTCCACAACCGTAGTGTTGCAGGAAAGAGCAGAAGTGATCAAGGCTTTTCTAGTGTTGCAAGCAAGTCCTTGCAATGGCAGGATATCTGTTAAATGTCCAGCAGATCCTGGGAAGCATGTTATGCCTCATAGCATGGAGAAGGATAAAAAGGAACAGCAGTAGCCCCTGCTGATCTTCTCAGAGAATAATCCCAGCCAATTCTACGAGGTTTTGCCTAGCACCCAAACCTGATGGCAACCTTAGCTGAGTTAGTGGGGTATACCTGCAAACTCTGCTTCCATCGGGTCTCTGGTTGCCACCAGTGTTCTCTATTTCACCCACTTCTACTGAACTGGCGACTTAACAGTGAAACTGTGTATTCAAGAATAAGGGGAGATTCAGGTAGGGACTGTGGTTTGTGTGCAGTTAAAGCGTCTTGACTGGAGAATGAAAATTTCTTAATCAGAGATGGTGCTGCTGAAGCTTCCTGAGGTAATTTATATGTCCTTTTTTTACGTATAGCATTCTCTTTCTTCTAAAACGTAGCGTTTATTTCAACTGGGAGGGATTCTTGCTACTTTTTCAGTGATAGCAAATCAATTAATGACCTATTGCCATACTTATGTAGCGCATACCTTTTGGTGAAAGATATCTGCATTTTATTGAAAATAAACAAACCACCCCACCTCAAATTACTTTTTTATATCCTTTAGAAGTTACAGTACTGGCCCTTTTAAACTATTTTTTTAACTTATAAAGATCTCAAATGTGAATCACCATTCATTAGAGACTACATGCATAAGATATTAAATGTGAATTATGTACAATATTATATTCAAATTACAATATTATATTTCAAAATAATCCAGGAAAGCTAACCCCAAATAAATACTAATTATTTCTATCATGCTTTTACAGCAGCAGTATCAAAGCGCCCTGTTTTGGGCAGACAAAGTAGCTTCACTGTCTCATGGTAAGTGGTTGCTTTTTAAATTGTCTTTGATTAACTTCTTTCTGATAGTGTTCTGTTTTGGTTTTGTTGTTTTTTTAAAGCTGTTTGTTTAAATGTTGAAGTTTTGAGTTCAGTGTAAAAGCTTTTCAGTTCCCACTGATCTTTTTTGAAAGAGACAATTCTGGGTTGTTTTTTTCTACTCTATGTCCAAGGGCAGAGTATCCTACAACTGCTACTTTTTTATAGATCTGTATCACTGTTGTCTCCTTCTCATGACACACCGGTAGTATGAAATTCTTTGTATTCACTGTCCAGTGCACTATCTAATGTCTTTAAAGTTAAAATCTGTTTATTTTTTCATTTTATTCTCTTACTGATAGAATTTATAAGTTGTTTATGTGTATATATATAAAAATAAAGCTTTGTAACTCAATAGGATGCTAGAATAGGGGAAAAATGCTTTTCTGGTGAAGCAAAAGTGAATATTCTGTATGGAAGTGTTTAATGATATATTATAAATTAATGGTTTATAATTTGTTCTTTTATTTTAGAGGAACCACAAGATATCTACTGGTTGGCCCAATGTCTTTACTTAACAGCTCAGTATCATAGGGCAGCACATGCCCTTCGATCGCGTAAGTTGGATAAGGTAAGTCATTTTATTCAAAGACTTGCTACTCTTATTCCACTTTTAAACCTCTGCTGCTAACCACAGTGACTTCTTCACTGTAAAAGGGTAAGGTTTATGGGAAAAGTGATTTAAAAACCTGCATAATGTAGTTTATCTGAACCAAGTATTGCCCTGTGTTCAATCAACCAGATTGAAACTGTTGTCCCCAGACAGGGTCACAGAAAAGAGAAGGGATCCAAGGATGTAACTGCAGCAGGTATGGGAAGGTGGAGTGTTGTTTCAGGTGTAGTTGTTTAAATTGTCCTTTGACTCTGCTAATGAGTGGTGAAGGCAAGAGTGAAGCAAGAGAGTTTAATAGTAGAAAAGTGTTACAGACTTAGTCATTTTGGTCAGGAAAGATTTTTGGAGGTGAAAGGAGCAAAATGGAGTCTAGCAGTGTAAGTAAACATGCTTGCTCTTTTATAACTAATATGTATGAAACTTCTCTTTCAGTTATATGAAGCGTGTCGCTACCTTGCAGCTAGATGTCATGTGAGTACAGGTTTTAACCTCTATTGGAGACAAACCAAACTAAATAAAAGCTGCATCTTGGGAAGATTAGATACGTGACAGGCAATGTAGGTGTCCATGTGCATTGGAATAACAGGTTTAAATTTTGTGACAGTTGATTTCATTCTTTAACCTTCAGTATGGTCACTGGAATATCCATTGTGGTACTATTCTGAAGAAATCCAACTGAACTTTTTTTCTAGGAAGGAAAATACCCCTGTAATATTTTGCAGGGAAAGAATGTGAACCATTTTTGTCTCCTGTCTTTATGTTTACATTTTTAATTGGTTGATTGTAGTCTGACCATAGGAGATGTGATTTATGGCTGTATAAATACAGTTAGCAGCTTTATACTTCTGCATAAAATGTGTTACATAAATAGTAAAATGCAGTGCTTTGACAGGACAACCGAATCAATTGGTAGATTAAATATAGCAACTTGAAACGGAATAATGTGCTCCTTATAGACTAAGGTGATTGTATTATTAAAACTTGTATTAACTATTTTTAGAAGCATATCTGCTTCTGCGATTGCGTAATGCTAAATAATAGATTTTTCTGTAGGTGCTAATTTTATATTTTTTTGCGTATTATAGATGACTAGTAAAATAGTTGACTGCAATTGTAAAATGACATACATCCAAATAAGAATAAGCGTGCATGAAAAGCCTGCTGATAAGCACTGGTTGCTATAATCTGTGCCTTTGAAATGTGACACTGTGTTTATTGGTGCTTTATGTACAGATGTTTCAAATCCCAACCTTGTTTTTTACATGCACATGTTTGGCTAGTATGCTGCAAAAGAACATCAACAGGCCCTGGATATTCTTGATATGGAAGAGCCAATCAACAAAAGACTTTTTGAAAAGTACTTGAAGGATGAAAGTGGATTGAAAGACTCTACCACAGACTGGGAGATGTCGCAATCCTCTGTAAGTGACATTTTTTAAACAAACGTTTTTATAATTGAGAGAAAAATGTGTCAAGTCAGGAAGTGATTTTACAGCTGTATGAATCTGAAACTCTGTTTAAGCTTTCTTTTTTCCATAACATAATTTTCAAAAATGCTGAATTGTTCTCCTTTCAGTCATTCATGTGTTAGCTTGCCTGTATGAAAGTAACTTGGTTTGCAAAAATGAAGAGTGCTTTTCAACAACTTCCCATAAATTATTTGCAGACACTTCGCAGGAAGTTCATGATCTAGCATTGGTTTTTAGAGTCTTTTAGCTCTATGCTGCAATTTCAGTCTTGATAATGTAAACTAACATTTCTTTCAATTAGGCTGCAGGTTCTGAGATAACAAAGCAAGTTTTCTTCTCCTCCAGTTACTTCTAATGAAATATTTCCTTAATCACTCAAGTGTTGTTCTCAGTGGGACATCTTTTGATCACACTTGAAAATTATGTGACATGTACGTAAAGTTTTTGAAGCTCAATGAAAAAATTCACTGTAGGCAACAGTTAAAAGGGATTGGTACAACGGATAGGCTAAAGAGTCTGTGAAGAGTCTTTACTTCTGGAGTTATGAACTGAAGTTTATTAGCTGAAACTACAGTGAAGGTGATTGACAGATGGCATTTTCCCTGTAAGACCGAAGTAGCAAAATGGATTAAATCATCAGTATGAACTGATTTTGAATGCTGGTATTAATGGGCTTAAGGGAGAAGCAGATTAGACTGAGTTACTGTGGTGCACCTTAATGGGAACATGTAAGCTACCACTGCAAGCAAAGGAAGAAGTCCTCGGCTTCGGCTGTTCATTCTTGCTACCTGTTTCATGGTACTCTGGCCCAGGTATTTGTGTGGCTGATAACTGAACTAAATTGTGAAAACTATTTTGACTGAAAAATAACCCAGCCAAAAACCTCAACTTCATCAGTCCTTGCCTTCACAAATGCTTGTGGTAATGTAGTTCACTAATGTGAGGAAGGGTTTGGTTTTCCAAAGGAGAGAACTACTGAAGTGGGTACTGCTACAAGAAATTTTAGATCAAACTCCTCTTTAGGAACGTGGCGTTTTCAAACTTAAACTTGATTAGCTTGCACAGACAGTAGTTACAGGGTAAGAATGACTGGTCTCTGAGCTGGTAACAATATTACCACTTTAGCAGCCCCCTGGGGTTTATTAGTTGTTAATGCAGCTATATTGTTTAGTGTTTGGACTCCTGACAGAGCTGGTCTGTGGTTTATTTGATGACACAGATGTGTCATGGGTTAACTTTCTCCAGGTAACTTGCTGACACTTCTGTGGCCTTCTGACTGAATTGAGTCTAGGGAGTTTTGAAAGAATGTTAGTTATTAGACATCTTAGCACAACTAACTATGGTAATAATGATCTTTCACTACTTTCATTTCTGAAACATCTATGTTTTGGAATGAAAAAAAGGATATATTTTTCTGCTCAAAGTAGCTGAGTCCATTGATTTGGCCTTTTTCATCTCTACTGCGGTCATTCTTGTGTTGCATGAAATATGTGGTTTAATAGTCAACAAAGTAGCAAATCGCCTTTGGAAGTGACAATTTCCCTATATTGAATATGAAGGAAATTTAGTATAATTAGCTTACAACTCAGTATCAGAGAGCTGGATGCCGGAAGTAGAAAAGATAAACTCTATCTTCCTTCTCCTTACTTCAAGCATGTGTTCGTTTGGCAGTAGATAACCTGACAGAGCATTCATTTGATTTTTTTTTTTTTTTTTAAGATAGTAGAGGTAATATTTTGTTTAAAGACAGCACTAGAAAAACAGGTTCTGTCATACATGAAATGCTTTTTACTTTTCAGGGAGCCCATTTGATTTGTGCTCAAAACCAAATTGCAAACATTGATTCAGTCTTTGACCTCCAGCCCTGCTTTTCCACCAGATCAAGAGCTCTATATGCCTTTTGCGAGGGAAGATCTATGATGCTTTGGATAATAGAACCCTAGCAACATACAGCTACAAAGAGGCCTTGAAGCTTGATGTTTACTGCTTTGAAGCATTTGATCTTTTAACATCGCACCATATGCTGACGGCACAAGAAGGTCTGGATAGCAGTATTTCTCAAATACAAGTAAAATTGAGCTGCTTTCTCAATACGTCTTTTTCCTGGGTAAAAATTAAAGTGATACTACAAGTAACAGACTAAAATGTTAAGAATAGGAAACGTATGAAATGAGTGAAAATTATAATCTGCTCAAATTTACGTGTGAACTTTATTTTTCAGTCTTGCAGTGCTAAGAATTAAAAGAAACAAAGTAACCTAGCTATCCTGTTTGTTAGCTCTGGAAACTCCTATGCTCTTTGCCCAGCCTAAACAATGGTTTTCCTGTGTTCTCAACTCCAGAGACTTTGAATCCACAAAACCTACTGCTGTTTGCTTAGTTTTATTAGGCATTGCTTAATATAGCATTCTGAGTGATAAAACTTGACATGTAGAATAAATAAAAATAGTGGTGTGTTATGTCATCTTTATTAAATGTTATTTGAAAGCGTAGAAGGAAAAACTAAGAATTCAATCATTAATTTCCATAATTAGTAGTATTATCTGTGTTAGTGTATCTGTAGTCTTATCTTCCTTGTAGTTTCTAGATAAGCATCATAAAATTCTTTGCATCTTTAAGTTCTTAAAATGTTGGATCTTGCTATTTCTTCTGTAAATGACCACTTCAATTATTTTTTTTTTAAATTCACATAGAAAAAGAACTTCTTGAATCTCTACCTCTTAGTAGACAATGTACAGAAGAAGAACAAGAATTGCTTCACTTCTTATTTGAGAATAAATTGAAAAAGGTAAACCCCCAAACTGGCTAAAAAGCTGGAGAATTGATTGTAAGTCTTGACTTCAGATGTAAATTTTCTTGGATTCCATTTATTCTAAACATTGGAATAAATAAGGGCTTTGTAGTTTTGGTGTCTTTAGAATTTATGATGCAGTAGGTATCACTTTATGGGAGTAGTAGTATAATAGTTTTGTGTACATTTATATTCTGGTGTGGTGACAACTTGAAATTCTGACTATCTTTTTTAGCTTTATTTCTTGACAAACTTCTAGGTGGGGAAAAAGAACATTAATAATGTAGGTAAAATGTCAGTTACCTGAAAATAATAGGATATAGCAACATTATTCCAGATTAGTTTTTCGAAAGATAATGTGAGAGCGCTGAAAGCCAACTATATATTGCTTAGTATTCATTTCTACAGCCTACACTTAAGATATTGACACTGGCAAGCATCTTTCATGTTCTAAATGAGCTTTTAAGTATATTATAAAGAAGCATTTTACCAAATACATGTTTTATGGACTTCCAGTTTAAAACTAAGAATTTTAAGAAGCTTAATGCTTCTTAAATATTCTTTTAGAATTAAAAATATTAATACTTATACCATTTGATTTTAGATTGGTTGTTGTTTCACATGTTTTTTTTGTCTTTCAGTATAATAAACCCAGTGAAACACTGATTCCTGAATCAGTAGATGGTCTTCAGGAAAACCTGGATGTGGTAGTATCCTTAGCTGAAAGACATTACTATAACTGTGATTTCAAAATGTGTTACAAGCTTACTTCAGTGTAAGTATACAAAGCAACTTTGAGTTTTTTTTTCTCATATGGTGTAGTATAATAATTATGCCTGGACTTAGAGCAAATATCATTGTTCAATGCATTGACATACATAACAATTTGATACAAAGTTTCAGGTATTTAAAATGTGTAGTTTGTGTCTGGCTGGACACATTATTTTTATGATACGTAGAAGAAGTATCCAAAGCAAAACTCTAGTTAATCAGCACTATGCTGCACTTGCCTTCATCCATCTTCTTCCTTATACTGGTACCTTCAGTGTTCTCTACCTACTTCTTGTTCGGCCTTCAGAATGAATGGGTTTGGATCAGTTGGTCAGTTAGGAAGTATGATTTTTCTGGCTGATTAAAAGTTATGTTAATTTTGATGTGCCAAGTGTTGCTGTTGCATAGCATGGGCATACACTGCTCTTCAGTTGTCAGATGGGTCACAAGAACACCATGGATTGTTTCTCAGCTACTGTAAATCTGAACACATGGTTGTGGAGCTATTTTTTTCTGCTGGTCTGACTACCTTTTTAAGAAAAATGTATTTTTTTGTGTATGTACTGCATAGATTCTGAATATTAGTATTATAAAACAGAAAGGTTTTTTGTTTCATGGGTTTTTGGGGGTTCTGTTTTGTTGGGTTTTTTTATAGTACAGCTTTTTCTTAGCTGAAGCAAGCCATGACTATGTGGAATATCCCATGGAACCCAGTACAGGCAAGATTTTTGGGAAGGCTGTAGAGAATGCTGATAGTTAGGGTGAATTTAAACACCCAAGTAAAATCATGATCCTGTTGAAATAAATTATACCAATTAAGTCAATAAAATTATACTATTGCATCTTTGTTTCTGAAACTTAATTGCCACATCTTGCCTAGCAAAAAGTGGCAGGAGTAAATGTCTCCTAAGGAGGAGACTATCACAGATGCTAGAGCTTGGAAATGAGAGTCTGAGAAGTTCACATAACTTCAAAGTTTTAGACTCTCTTCAAGAGACCATTTAAAGTACTTGTTTTTTTTATACTTTTCATTTGAAATACTTTGAACTATTTAAAAATGCCAACTAAACTTCTATTTCAAGGTGTACTTTCTCAGAGAACGGAGTCATAAACTTGTGCTTCTGATTTAAGAGATTCTGTGGACAGATTTCAAGAAATCCTTTTTTTCCTCTGCTTAGTTTACCAAATGCCAGTGCTTATAAAAAGGATGCATGCCTACAAGCCATGTCCTACCTGCAGTCTGTTGTCTGTGAGACTATCTTCCATTTCTAAGCACAGGAAATAAAAATTTAAAACTGAGCTAAATATGTTTCCTGAGGCATACTGCTGAGGACTGTTGCTTGAAAGTTGCTGTCAAATGTATGGAAAAGATGAACAGAAATGTTGCTTGCTGTTCGCAGGTTAAAATTGAAGTGACTTGCAAACAAATGTGCATCGTATTCTGTTTTTCTAATTGTATGTTCAGCTTGCAAGAATTTTCTGTTATCCTCTTCTGTTAAGCTAAATCAATAGTTATTTTTCTGGTCTTAAGATAGCCTTTATTATGCTGTTAATAGTCACCTTCTAGTCACAAAGTTTTCCAGTGCCTAAAGTGGTAATTAACTGGAACGTTACACACTATAAAAGCAGCTTGCTTATAACATTAAAATTTTTGAAATGTGCATTGCAGATTTTTTATTTTTATTTTTTTTTTTAGAGTGATGGAAAAAGATCCTTTCCATGCAAATTGTTTACCTGTGCATATAGGGACACTTGTGGAGCTTAATAAAGCGAATGGTAAGAAACACAATATTTAATGAGTCAAAAGAAGATTGTAAAGCTTCAATTTTAAAAAAGAATTAAGGATGCCAAGAAACCCCATTTAAAAAACTACATATATTTATTTTCCTACCTGCAGTTTCAAGAAAACAGTGGTAACTGGAAAAGAAGGGAGTTTCAGAGCTGACAGTGGTGGGGTGGGGAGTAGTTATGCAAAGAGTCCTTTATTCATTCGTGATCATGAGTGTCACTGTCTTTTAACCACTGGGCTATGTAGCCAGGAAGTTAGTGAGCTACACTGCTTCATTTCTGTTGTTTGATTTCTGGTTTGAGGTGATCTTCCTAGAGTATCTGGGTGTACTTTTTCTGTTCAACAACACAACAAAATTTATTAATTTCAGCTAGAAGGAACTCTTCCCCAGTGTGTATGCGTAGGTGGATATGCTCTTCCATATTAGAAAAAATTCTAGACTGTCCTTGCCTTTGCTGTTGTGAAGGCCTCTTTTTAGTTCAAACAAGTTAATAATCATGCAGCACCTTTGCTGGAATTACAAGAATAGCTTACTTGCAGCTGAGATGGCTTTTTCTCATTTCAGACTGCGTGTAAACATCCAAAGCAAGTGAGGAGCTTGAATGTCTTTAAAACCAATTGGAATATAAAATAAGGAGCTCATATGATTTGCAGTCTCTCAAAAGATGGTGCATTGTATGTACGGAAATAGGTCATTAGGTGTACTAGTACTTCTCAATGTTTAGTAATGTACTTTTCAGTTACTTTACAGTTAACCACATCTGAAAATGTGGCCACTACTTGCGATTTTTCTTCCAACTCTGCCTTGAGAAGCATTTTGTAAATAAGTTGGTATTTTGTAAGCCAGTTTTCATATTTGGTTTTTCTGAAGCCAAGAATTGATGCAAAGTACTCTAGGACAAACTCATCAATTTAAGAGCACTGTACTCTGAAGAAATAGAAATTTTATGTACTGTAATGCTATTTCTTTTGAAATTGCATAGGCAGTAGAACCGTTATCCTGTATCTGATTACTTCCACTGTTACTAGAAAATCCGTAGTAAGTTATTCTAATAACTAGAAGTATTATTCTTATTTGAAAAGTAATCACTTAGAATTATTCCAAATAATATAATAATTTATTTGCTTTTGTCCTATTTTCAGCATATTAATGCACAGGACTCTACTTTGAGATTGATCTAGCCTGTATGTTATACCTTTTAGGTGTAGGAAGTTCAGTAGTGTTTTACCTTGACAAGATAAATTCAAGTGTAATGCTACAGGCATTTATTTTAATGTATGCTAATGACCTAAGTTGTTGCAGAATTCTTAAGGGGTGGGATGTATAGGTGCTTATTTATGTGAAGACTTATAGCATTGGGTTTTTTTAGTTAATTGCAAACCCAAATCTGTTTTGAGGCGGTTTGAAGCATTACCACTAAACAGAAAACATTTTTGTTCACTTGTGCATTAATAATGTTAGATGTTCTGGGTATTTCATATAGAAAGCTAAAGGGCTTGAAACATCTGAATGTTTTAGCATGTTTTAATTTTTTTTTTCTTGTTTCTTCCTGCTATGTAGAGCTTTTCTATCTTTCTCACAAACTGGTGGACTTGTACCCAAATAATCCTGTAAGTTGTTCTAAGCCTTCATTACCAGGTAGTTTTTTCTAGGTGAAAGCACGTGAAAGTTGTAATAGTCAGTTTGAGCAACAGAATTCAAAATCTGTTTCTGGATGGAGCTAATAAAAATGGTTCACTCCTCCTTTTTATTTACTGTGCATTGTAATTTTCTTATACCAAGGTTATTTTTTTAAAATAAAGTATCTGTTAAATATATTCCATGTGAGATATTCACTTCGAATAGTAATTTAAAACAAATGCTACAGTAATAAGTGTCTATGCCTCTCTGGGCAACCTTTTCAAATGTTTGATCACCTTCATAGTGAAAATTGTTTTCCTTTTACTCAATCTGAATTTCCCATGTTGCAACTTGTACCCATTGCCTCCCATCCTATCACTGCACCTCTGAGAAGAGTCTAGCTCTGTGTTCCCTACCATTAGATAACTGAAGACAGCAATAAGCTTTCCACTTAGCTCTCTCTTCACGAGGCTGGACAAACCCGGGTAGAAAAGTACATGCCAGCAGTTCTAGCTTGTCTGTAATATCAAATAATTCAAAAAGCTGACTGTGATTTCAGTGAAAATGTTCCTGACTTCTCTAATTATAATCTGTTCCTCTGTTTTGCATCACCTATGGTGGTGTTTCACTAAAATCAGTGTGATATCTCTAATAATATTCTATTTTGATTTTAATATGTAGGTGTCATGGTTTGCAGTAGGATGCTACTATCTCATGGTTGGCCACAAAAACGAACATGCCAGAAGATATCTCAGGTAATTTTTTTTTTCCTGGTTTTCCTTAGTGAATCTTTTGCTCACTTGCTAATTAAATATTTAATGTTCATGTGATTGTTTGTTAGCTCATAAAGTAAACAGAAGTCTTGGTAAACTGGTTACTACTAAAATATTCCTTTTGTTGACACCCTATTTTTGGTATAGCAGTTTAGACCTCAACCTTATAGATACTGTAAAAATGACATACACACTTATGTGGAATCTCTTTTGGCAGTCACCTTGCTGTTACGGGCAGGTGTAGTCCCTGCATTTGCTCACGCTGCCAAGCTAACTACAGCTGGGTAATCAATCCTCAGTTCTTAGCTTAAGAGTTAGATAGAAAATTCTGACATTTGGCTGACTAGTTCTTTCTTTGCACAAGCAGCCTTGGACTTTTTAGGTTGGTCAGTCAGTCCAATGCTCTTTCCTGTAGGTCTTCTGTATGCGTATTGGTTATCAGCACTGGGGAGCAGGACCTTGCTGTGAAGTAGAGCATTTGTTTTGGTGCTGTAAGCTTAAACAGAGAAGGCTTAAGTCAACCTGTAAGGCTTTCATCTTTCTTCTCGAGACCTTTATAAACAATGTATGTAAAGATGGGTTAGTAATTTAGACTGTTGAAATGCCTGGTTATTATGAGTAAACTATTTAAATTCCTGACAAGTACCAGTGTTGTTCAAGAAGCTGTCCTGAGTGACATAGGTGATTTTGGTGGTGAAATAAAGAACATCTTTAGTAAATCTGCAAGCATCCCTAGCCAGGAAGAGTCTAGAGATGTGTTTAGGGGTAAAAAAAAAATATATAAAAAAGCCATAAAAATTGAGGGTAGTTCTGACAAAGAGGAAAAAAGTCTGGTAAAAGTGAAATAGTAACGAGATACCCAGATTTCTTGGAGAAGAATGATAGTGTACAACTACAAGGCTAGGGACAACTGTGGGCTAGGCAGTAGTCTTTAGAAAAGGATCTGGAGATACCATGGATAAAAACACAAGCTCCCGTATTGTTGTTTTGGAGTCACAGGACATCATGCTGGAGCATGCTGAACAGGATAGAAGGCACAGCTGGGCAGTGCCCCGTAGCATGTAAGGGAAGTATCCTTCCAGCTGCTCCAGAAGGAGCTATCGCATCCTTCAGATCTTGCAAAAGGGGTTACCTGATCTCGGCACCAATTAGGAAAACTACTTTTGTGATAGAACATAATCCATCTTTTATAACAACAAGAAAGCTGTTTTGTAATGTGTCACTGTTGACAAGTCAACATATGTGGAGAACTCAAGAGGGATGTGAGACATTTGAATTGAATTCAAGAGAAGGCAGTAAACAAGCATTCTGGAGAAGGTGGCCAATGAGGAAAGTTTTTGAAGTGATTGAAGCTGTCTAGGATGTAGGGTGGGAAGATGCAAATGTTTGAATATGTAAAGTTTTGTCCTAGGAGATGGAAAACAAACTGTTCTCTGGGATCTCTGATGAGAAATAATGACTTTAACTGTGACAAACAAGACTTAGATTAAATGTTAGAAGAAAATGAAGTGTTTAAGGATAGTTAAGCAATAGAATAGATTACTTGTGGAACAGGTAGAATCTCCATGTCAGATGCTGTTAAGAAAAGATTGGGCACATCTGTCATGAGCTGTTTAGTTATGAATGCCTTTGCCTTCAGACTGAGAAAATAACCTACAGAGCTTTCTAATGTTCCTGTCAAGTCCATCTTTCTGTAGAGACTCCAGGTTGCAGTCTTCAGCTCAGGACTTGAGTGACATTTTTTATACTTCTCTGATGCACAGCAACTGTCTGCAATGTGACACATACTCTTGTTTTTGTTAAGGCTGGTACAATTATATGGCAAAACTTCAACACACAGTTCAGCCGAAGTGTTCATTTGGTATTTTCATATCCTGCTTGCGAAACTTACATTTGCTAAGATATATTTATTTTGAAATGTATAGCTAGACTTCTGTAAAACATTATGTCACTACTAATGTTTTCTGTATTTTGCCCAATTCACCTATTACATCATTGCTCATGTTCAGTAATATCAAATAATTCCTGCTGCCTATGAACAGCACAGAAATAATATAATGAATTCTTGAAAAGGTGTGATACTTTTAAGTGTTAAATAGTTTGAACTTTTAAAATTAACTTTGTTTACCTAGTCATTACAAGAGATTATCTTAATAGATACCTAACTATGTGGCATAGCATTGTTATGTAAGTAGTCATCTGAAGCAGATGAAATTTAATTTCAGATGTGTTTGCTTGTGACTTGCTTTTGGTTTTAGCAAAGCTACTACACTTGAGAGAACCTATGGGCCTGCATGGATAGCATATGGACATTCATTTGCAGTTGAGAGTGAGCACGACCAAGCAATGGCTGCATACTTCACAGCTGCACAGCTCATGAAAGGGTATGTCAAAAATGTCGTATTCAGAAAAATTAAAATTAATCCATAAATAGTGTAGAATATTGACCTATATCCTTTTAAACAGTAGGAATACATTTGCAACAATTATCTGATAGAGAACAAAGGAGAGAAAAACCCAAATAACTTCATCATCTGCATTTAACTGCATTATTTGTGATTACTGTTGTGATTTTATAAGTTCTAAAGTCAAGGTTTATATTTAGGTAATCTATGTTCTACCTGAAAGTTCTCTGCAATTTGTGAAGCCTGTTTGTCATACCAGGTCATAACTGCTGTATAGTAATAACTTGCTGTTTCATGCTGTGCAGAAGGTTGTAAAATGAGTAGTGGACTAATCATGTCATATTGCGTATAAAACCATTGTATTTGACTGTAGTTATTGGTAAATGTAATCCCTTTAATTATTACTTCTTCCATATTCCATTTTTAAATGAAATGTATGAAGGAAAATAGGAAAAAACCTTCAGAACTAAACTGTCCCTTAGGTTAATAGTCCATTTAAATCAGCTTTTACTTGTATGTACACAAACATACACAAACACAGTTGGCATTTCTTTATAGTTTGTGACGCCATTCCTGCTAAGTGCATATTTGGGTTTTTGTGTGTTGTTTTTTTTTAGATGTCATTTGCCGATGCTCTATATTGGACTGGAATATGGTTTGACCAACAACTCCAAGTTAGCTGAAAGATTTTTCAGCCAAGCTTTAAGCATTGCACCTGAAGATCCTTTTGTTATGCATGAAGTTGGAGTGGTTGCATTTCAAAATGGAGAGTAAGCTTGCAAAATAGGATTAAATACAATCTTAAACATGGATTATTCTGAAGTGTAATGTGCCAGTATATCTACTGAAGTACTTACATTGAACTACAGAATGCAAAATTTCTTTTGGTTCTAGTTTAGATGGTGTTTACCCTAAACCCTTGCTTTCTACGTTGTTCTTCGTTGTTTAAGATTGAACGAGGAAAGAATTTAATGCTTGAGGAACATGCAGAGATCGATTATTATCTTGTGTGTGTCCATCATTGTGTAGTTGCGTGCCTTGAAAAGGCATCTGTACACACAGGTGCACACATGGTATAAAATTTTGTATAGCAAAATGTTTTGGCAGCTCAGGAGGTTCCAAATATATTCTGAAAAAACCTAACAGATATAAGAAGTGTTTAGTGAATATTCTTTGTTTGCTTCTGATTTTTTTACTTTGTCTTGTTAACTCTTAGGAAAACATGCAAAATACAGCGAAACTTAAATTACTGGGTTTCAAATCTAATTTCACTCACACAATGAAATAATGTCAAAGAACTGTTCCTTGTAATACAGTTTTCTCATACTGCTAATGAAAACTCTTCACTAATTTACTTTTCTTTCCCCCCACCCCCTCAATTCTTAGCTGGAAAACTGCAGAAAAGTGGTTTCTTGATGCACTGGAAAAAATCAAAGCTATTGGAAATGAGGTATTTTTCTTAATAACACACACAATCATAAATATGTAAAACTCCAGGAAATTCTGTAATATCGTAACAAAATATGTTGTGCTTATTTTAAGATAGAAGCAATACAATATAAATTTGACTTTAAAACTTGGACCATCTACTTGTAATTGAGTATGTTGGGTTTTTAGATGGGAATCATCACACAATATCTTCAGTGCTAGTAGACCAATGGTTCTTGACCTGAGGGTGGAACTGGGTATATGTGTGAAGACAGTTTCTGCCACCTTAAGTGTTACCCATTTCTTGAATGACTTCCACTTTTGTTTGGACATAATCCTGTAGGTATGGATTTATTGTCTTTCTACCAGATGGAGACACTGTGTGGGAATGAGCCCAGGGATGCTTAACTAACTTCCTGAAAGTAATCAAAATAATCACTGGCAAAAAGTTTATCAGGAAATGTGCTCATAGTTCAGGTGCTTTTGTGAATCAGAAGTCAGCTATTACAACCCTGATTCCTCAAATGCTGGAACACACAAATGAGCTCGTACCTATTGGTAGTACCGTTTATTTTATTTGTGTGTCGTCATCTTGTCTAAAGAAACACACTGTGCTAGAGTAACTTAAGATGCCTTAATGAAAGCAGTACCACCTTGTGACAGGCTTCTTGTGAATTTTAAGATAGGTTTTCTCAATTTTTAGCTTAAATTTAGTTAATGAGGACACCATCTCATGCTATTATAATTGTTAACAAAGCATCTCCTATCAAGATAATTAAATTGCTTCTAGAGCACAATAAACTTTCTATAAAGTGGAAAGCACTGAAAAAACTATAATCTTCATGTGGACAAGGCACACATTTACTAAAAAAACCTGCACAGATACTACTTTATACAGTCACCAATATATATATATAGGGTTGCTCTGTTTTAGTTAAAGCTGTACTGTTGTTCATGCGAATGCCATAAACTTTGTAGATCAGGCTTAAATTTATGCATATGCCTAAATTCTTTTGTGTGGCATTTTTTCTTTTTTATTGAGAAGTACTAAATATCAACATATCTGTAAACACAAATGGAAATTTAGGATTAGAGTGGGAAATGCCTAAAATAGCTACAGATACAGAGATACTCTTACATTGTTATAAATTGCAAATTCATGTGATAAAGTCCAAATGACTTTTCATTTCAGCAAAAATTGTTTTAAGGATTTTGTTCGTTCAGGTTGTCTTCTATGTGCCTTGTAAATGAGCTGACTTATTTAGAGCAGATGAAGTTAGACTATGGAGAAGACAGTAAAAAAGACCTTCAGTATTTATGATTATTTTACAAATACCTAATTTGGGGGCTAGGCTTGAGAGACTTAACGTGATAGTTAAGTAGAAAACAAATTTTGTTTGGTTTGCATCCAAGTTTTAATACTGCTGACCCTTTAAAGAAATTTATTTGGGTTTGGGGAATGGAATAAATGTTTTGAGGTTAAATATGTGTTTTCAAAAGAATTGAAAATGCTTGTGATATTTTTCTTGGTCATGAATGAATTGCCTTGTTCATTCGTATGGTGGTTTTTGTTTTTTTTTGAAGTAGACAAAATTCAATTACAATCTGGGAAGCTGCAGTTATTTGAATTGTTGCATTATTTTGCAGGTAACAGTTGATAAATGGGAGCCTTTATTGAACAACTTAGGACACGTCTGCAGAAAACTCAAGTAAGCAGAGAGTATTGGAGCTACATTTATCTGGAATACTGCACAAATATATATTCACTAGGTCTACTTCTCATTTATATCAAGATTATGTACCACATGAGAGCAGTGTAGAATCACCTTATAAAAACAAGATTCCCTAAATCCGCTTATGAACATAAATACATTAATCGCCCCATATATCCAGTTTACTGTGCAAGTTAAAGTACTTAATGTAAAAGCCTTTCCTTAAGTATTGATTCTTATTAGATAGAAATTTTGTTGTAGGCTTCCAGATCCTTGTATGGGTCTTAATTCTAACTGGCTGCTGTCCCAGTCCTGACATACTTGAATATGTCCACTGATTTAATTAACATAAAGGTGGTTTTGTGCTGATTGATTGCTTGGATCAGTGCTTATGTGTGGTTTGTTTGGGTTTTTTTTATTGAAGTGAAATATTCAGTGATATTAACACAGCAATAAAATATTACTTTATGTTTTTTGAGAACAGAAATGTTTCATCTCATATTTCTGTTCTAGGAAGAGAAAAAGAAAGTGCAAAGTACATATGCAAGCTTTAACAGCTTCAACATAGAGAAATGTCTTCTCATTAACTACCTTAATCTGATTTTAACCAGTGTTTTGTGTAATCAGTACCTTTTTAAAATTTTTGGGGGGTGGGGGGGGGTCATGGTGTTAATTGTCCAATTGATGTATACTGTAAACTTTGTCTCAAAGCTGCTAATCAGAATTTGATTATGGTAGATATAAGTTGTACTTCTGCTTTGGCTTTGGTAGTAATTGCTTTGTGTTTGAATTGCCAATTAGTCTTCATTGTCATTATGAAATACGGATGTATAATAGTTACCCCTTCTGCCAAGATCAAACAAAAAGCACTGCTGCTGGAATCTATTAATAAGTATAATTGCAGGGTTTTTTTCAAATAGTTATTTCAGTTTTAATTCCTTTTGTCTCTTTTTAATTTCTACAATAAGTTAGTAACTGCTTGTATCACACTTAGGACAACTTGCATTGTATAATTTGTTTGTTCAGGTTCAGAAAGCCAGCTTAATGTATTTCTACATCCTTGTAAACCATCTTTCAGGAAAATCAAGCTGATAATTTAGGCAGCTGTATATATGTTTGACAACTTAAAAAATTCTGTAATAACTAATTTACTAGTGTTCATAATACATGCTATTATGAAAAAAACTTACTGGATATATGTCTACTGACTAGCATTATGTCGTTGAAATTTGAAAGCAGCATGTTAAAATACAGTGGTAGTTAATTGGACAGGTAAATACTATGAGTGAAAATAAAACTCAAATCATGTGAAAGTTTCGTGCAGCAAGCAAACAGTTGCATAACTTTTCTGCCTCAATTGTTACTTAATGCCCTCTAACAGCTTCATGTATTGCTGTTTGCATAATTTCATTTTAACTATAGACATTAACATTTCTTCTGAATAGACAACTGCTATCTTTATTTTTGACAACTTGGTACTAGGATGTCAAATGTGACAATTTAATTTCTCAGAGTAATGCCATAACATACATTTAATCCTTGTTTTATAAAATAACAAATGCAATAAGCAGTCTAATTAATGGAAAATTTTTAAAGAAAGGGTGGCTGATATTTGAAAGAAATTACGATTATGTGTAAATCTTCTTTTCTGATAGAGACAGTAGCAAAATGGAAGTGACAAAAGTACCAGTCTATGTAGCACTTAAGGGTTGTGAAATATCCGCCTAGAGAGCTTTTCTCATTTTGAACAATGAGTGATTTAGTTTTGTATTGCTCCTCTGCTCCCCTGGGGAGGAAAATGAAAGCTGCAGAAAGCAAGCTAATGTTACAATGAGTGGCATTAAACATCTAAAGCAATTTACCATATCAGATTGCTAAGATCATCTCCAAATGGGGCCTAGCTGTAGGCAGCTGTTGTGCTACATAAAGGTAACAATGACTCCTCAATTACGTTGAAGAAGAAAATTGTCAATATCCCTGAGTCTTTTGTGCATTCTGTTAAGTTCAGAGTATGAAGCAATAGCAATAATTTTTAAGTTCTTGCAGGATCGTATGCCACTGAACTAAGGAAAACACCAATATAATACTATAAAAACACCTTTCACCCTGAAACTTAATAATAGATCTTCTGTATTTAACCCTAACAGGAAATACGAGGAAGCACTGGAGTACCATCGCCAAGCTCTAGTACTAATTCCTCAAAATGCTTCTACTTACTCTGCCATTGGCTACATACATAGTCTAATGGGCAATTTTGAAAGTGCAATCGACTATTTTCATACGGTATGTAACTGGCTTAAATTAAAGTGCTGGTCACAGACTCTGTTATTCACTGTTTCATTCTGGTTTGGTTTTGGAACAGAGAACCAGCATTTTACCCAGCCTCCACATCAGTGTTTTATTTTATAATCTTAAATTTTTTTGAAAAATCTTCCTAAGTTTTTTCTATTGATCAGGTAAAAAATGGCCACTTGGGGAAGCTTAGTACTTGGATCCTTCTTTGTTAAAAATTAATTTAATATCATAGTTGTCATATACATTTTATGTACATAAACTTCTCCTGCAGCTGAAATAATTTAAAATATTAGCAACCTATGCCTTGAAGTAGAAATTTCACAGTCAGTGCAACATACATTATACTTCATGCCTTGTGAATGATTCTCTGTCTGTATATATATCCTTTTCTGGTTTTGGCTTTGGGCTTTGCTTGCTTACTACTACAGCCAGTTCATATGACAATATTATTTTGGTTGTGTGATGTTTTGCTTCTATGGTGAAGACTATGCTCTGATAGCATTGTTGAGCAACAGAACAACAAACTCAGAACTGTTGTGGACGGAAGATGTAAATGGTTTTATTTGCTACTGAATACTTTTTACTGGTTTTTTTTTAATAGGCCCTTGGCCTTAGAAGGGATGACACATTTTCAGTCACGATGCTTGGACATTGCATAGAAATGTATATTGGTGATTCTGAAGCCTACATTGGTAAGTCTTTCACTAATGTGACTCTTAAAGTCATTGAGTCCTCTAAGAGGAGTCTTATGTCAAGAAAGACTGGCTACCATTACCTAGCTAACTTACAAAGTAGGGTATGCTTTTGTTTGGCCATTTGTTTGGGGTTTGTTGTTGGGGTTTTTTTTATGGCTAAATGAGTCAGGACTTACCAGCAATTGCAGATGACTGCTGTTTTCTGTAAGCATTACGACAGTAAATTCTTACCAGTATAAAGAAAGGAAACACTTTGCTATTGAAGGTGGTGATGGTTTCTTTTATAGAAAACACTGATTTGTGGTAGCTTAGTAACCAAAGGGAATGGGTTAAAAATAAAATAGAAATATGGAGTTTGGAGTTGGAAAATCAGAGCACTAATGCTGCTGTAGAGAGACATGGGCAAGGCATTTTCACCATGTCAAAACTCTGCTCTGTGGAGACAGGATAAATTCTTCTGCCTCCAAAAATACAGCTTTACATATGGTTAAAAAAAAAAGTCCTTCATAACAGTAATAATTCATATTGCCATAGTTTGAAAGATTCTATGAAAGATTTCTGCCCCCCCAACTTCATAGCGACCTATTTCTGCTTCATTGAACTTAGTGATTTATCTGTAATGAACACAGCTGATGTCCTGTCAAGCATGTTAATGAGGCTGAAGCCAGTAAAAGCCATCTGTGTGCTCTGTTGCTTTTGCTGCAGACTTTTTGCACAATTGAAGCAGATGTTTCTTCTCAATATTGTCTTGCTCCTTATGTAGTCAGTTAACACATCTGGAAGAACATGCAGCTGTGTGATATGCATTAATGCAAACCATGCTGTGTGTAACTTGACAAAAAAAGCCTCTCAGAGAATTGGGAAGGGAATTGGCAATTACTTCTCATAACACACTTTTGAATCTGAGCTGTACTTCTCATATTGTGCTTTTTTTTCAAAAAGGAGGCTGCTGGATTTTTTCAGAACAACTCTATTCAACTTCAGTCATTAAGCAACGACAGCTCCCTGTCGGTGTGAAAGCAGAGAATCATAGTAGTTTCTGGATGATAGTTTCTTTGAGAGATATTTTTGCAAGTGTTCACTTGGAATAAACTAATGGTTTGATTGTTTTCTTAGGAACAGAGATCAAAGACAAATTAAGATGTTATGACTTTGATGTACACACAATGAAGACATTAAAGAACATAATTTCACCTCCCTGGGATTTCAGAGAATTTGACATAGAAAGACAAACTCTGGATGAAAGTGGCATAGTAACATTAGAGACATCACATCAAAGGAAAAGTACAGATACCAGTCGCCCACTGGAAGAAACATTTGAGATTGAAATGAATGAAAGTGATATGATGTTAGAAACATCAATGTCAGACCATAGTACGTGACCATAAATGCTGGTAGAGAGCTCATTTTGTCTAAGTGTAATATGTTTGTTTTAGCATTCTTGTTATGGTGTTATACTTTCAAGAATTTGCTATTTTTATATGAATTCAAACTACTACTCTGTACTTAACACCGGAGAAATAATGCTTGCCTTAAGGATGATTAAAAAGTATACATGATGGACTATTTCTACAAAATTAATCATACGTGACAAACTAAAAAATAAATTCACTTTTTTTTAAAACTGTTTACTGATCCATGTGTCTACCATCAGCGAGACTGTGAAGGTTTAAAAATAGTACTTAACATTGGAACTGTTTACAATGTTGTTAAATTGAATAGCCAGTCTAATATAGTATTGTTGTGGCTTCTGAGTTTTCATCCTGTCTGTGAGGAATGCTTTCTGAGTAAATAGACCAAAAAAATCCATGAAGTTTTATACTTACTACTTTATAAATATGTGTTCCTTTAAGGAGCAATTTCAATGGTTTTCCATGATTTGACTCTAATTTGGCATACATTAAATTGATGACAAACTATGTTACTTTGTTATACTTTCTCCTAGTTATTAATTTCAGTTCTTTATCATTCTATATTGTGTTACTGAAAGATCGTGTAAGAACTGGTTTTGGTAAGCTGACTAGACAACAAATATAAATGGCATAAACATTAAGATAAATCAGTCTTACCTGCAATTAGCATTATAATGAAGTTGTACGACACAGTGTACTAGTGTAGGGACCGCGGTCATTCTCTTTACACATAGTTGTTTTGTCAGTGCAAAGGATTAACTGAATAATACACATACACAGTTTTTACAAGTCGCTAAAGTGTGGTATTTTTAAATGTCATTGGTTCTCTGAAAAATGAAGAAGTAAAGTGTATGCCTCTGAAACAGCAGCAGTGCTTTGTCCATCCACTAAACAGGACAGGTCTGTCTGTCGTCTTAGCATAAATATTGAACATGTTTTGTGTAAATTTTTCCCTTCCATTCTCTTCTTGCCTTTTCCGCATATGTCACTCTGTGGGGCTTAAAAACTTAATGCTACAAACTGTCAATATTTTCCTCTGTGACTTCCAGCTAAGCTTTGGCGTTTAATGTTTAGAATAGATTTCCTGAAGTTTAGCAGTCCAGACTTTAGTGTGAAGTACTTCAGAACTCAAGAACTAGCAATTTTTCTGTAGACAAAGATTTTTTTCATGAAATACAAAAATTATTTTTGTTTTAGTCAGCAAAATAAAATCACTGGTCTAAAATGTAATTTCTACACTGTATCTCGGTACATTTGTGTTAACGTTTAAACATGTATTTTCAATTATACTTTTAGCAGAAGATGTATATGTTTGGTTATTGTAATATAATTTTCATCCACTTTATTGGGGCAAGGTATAAAAAACCCTGACATATTAGTGCGATTCATTAAATATTTCCTATACCCTTTTTTGGTACTTTGTGTAAATAAGAGGCAAGGGATGAATCCAAGTACCCGTACTGAAACCTTGCTGTCATTTTTGCTTTCCAGCAGTCCATCTTTCTTGATTAACGGTCCTTTTAACTTCAAGACAGACAATGTTTACTTTTTAATTTTGCCAATGAATGGTTATCAAAGGATGGGTTGATACTGCAAACTTTTGAGTGATTTTTATTTTTTAAATTATGCAAAAATATACAAAAACTGGAACATGCAAACTACTATTTCTCATCCCACTACATCTGTCTCATGGCCCATTGAGTTCTCAGGGGCCAGGTTCTGAATCCTAAGGAATATACAGTTAGTAGAGACCACTACTTGGAGAAAGATTGCTAGGTGGGAAGGCCTTTGTTTATCCAAGGATTCTTATTGGCCAATCTGAGATAACTGCTAGTGAATCAAAATGCTAATTTTCCTTTTTCCTTTGTTTTGCCACCTTAGTTGCTTGCTGCACTGCTCAGGCAGACTTCTTTGCTGTGACTGATTATGTCTTCATTCTTTGGCTCTTTTCCTGATAGTGTGCTTGTGAATCCCCATCTGGATCAGGGAGACTTGATTGCATCAAGGCAGGCCACATACATGGTTTGAATCTAGGGTATTGGCTGTTCTCCATGTGTCTGGGCATTACTGAACATGAACTCAAGTTCTAGGCACACCTGCACTTTAAAATTCAAAGGCATGGAATGCGGAAAAACTAGGGGAAGAGTCTGTGTTTTAACAGCAATTGCACACGCTCTCACTGTTGAAATGTGGTTGGGTCTAGGAGATCCCCTCGCTTTCATATGAGCACCAGCACAGTAGTGTAGAAAAGTCTGATTCTGTCCCAGTGACAGCAGGAATTGTTCTGTGGCTCCACAGAGGGAATTATGGATGCCCGAGTTACCATTCTGTATGTTAGAACATGTGGATTGGAGTATGTCCAGTGCAGAATTCAATACCCATCCCATATTTTTTAGATGTTAGGAACTAAGGTGAATGAAAATGTTTTACTTCCTAGTTCTAAAGCACTTCACCCAAAGTTGCATGTTCTGAAAAAGATAGGATGAGCCATGAGTCTTAAGAGGAAAAGTCTTTATCCCACTTTTTCCACAGTGGAAAAGTGTGGGAAAAATGAGTCATTGGGGAAGCATACCCATCTCCTGGCCAGCATCAGGTCTCTCCTTTAGTGTAGCTGGCTAAAAAGTTCATACAGAGGGTTTTCTTTTCTTTTGGTATCTGGTAGTTTGTGTGTGGTTCAGGTGACTTCTTATGTTTGAAGTAAACTGGAGATTTTTCCTGGGCATACTAGAAGACTCTAGCCAGTTAAGACTATAAGGAGTGTGTCTCAACAGCTACTGCATTAGGAAAGTATCATCCTTTAAAGGATCTTTTGGTAGTTATTTTTACATCTGTGCTTATGTATCCTCAAAGACTGTAACCAAGACAACCATCTCATGGATAAAGTGACAGCAATGGCTTGCTGCACACAGAGCAGCCAGAAGGCTATTGCTGATGCTCAAAGAACTCCTTTTTCTCTGTAATGTTGTCTTTTTTTTTTTTTTTTTAATCCAGCATAGGTAAACCTAGTTTTCTAGTTTATCATGGCAATTTCTACATGGAAGTTGGCAAAAAAAGTCTTCTAGCAAATCAGGCCTTTAGTCTAATGTCAGGCATGGATATAAGCTTTTTCCCTTTTTTTCTATGTTACAACTATTTTCATTGACAAAGTATTTTAAAAGACTGATAAAAGTTATTATTTCTTCCCGTACCCTCCAGTTATGATTAGATGGTGTGTCAGCTCCCATGACAATACTGGTTTATAGTATTCCTGCCCTGCCCACAGGAATCTACTTACCCCTGTGCTGCTTCCTCAGCTGTGGTAATACAAATGTTTGTGTGGTTAGGTTGTGAATCAAATCAGGGAACTGGTCCAGCGTTTAAAAACCTTTTCTCCGTCTGATCAGTTTTTGGGTTCAAAGACAGCAAACCACTGCTGTATTAGTGTCATCAGTGGAGCAGAGTGGAAGGAGCGGGAAGAAATGGATGGAATAGCAAGAATGGGCGTTGCTATAAAGGCAGCATATCATGACACTGTGCCTTGGCAGGTATCTACTGGAGGTTTTTTGGCTGGCTGTTGCTGGCTTTCATTTATTGGCATTAAAAGTTACCTAGAAAGAAATGTATGCAAAGTGCCCTAGATTGTGAATGACTCTTCCTGGATGTCAGAGGAATTCTTGATATGACTTGGCTTGGCTCCCAGCCCTTTAGGTGGCTACAGTTAGGTTAGAGCTTGTGAGCTGGTTGATGATGTGCGCCTCAGGACTTCAGGGAAAGTTTCTCTCTCCCCATTTATCTTCTGTTCAATGTCTCGATCTGCTCTTGTTCTGTCCAAATCCTTGCCTTTGTACCAGCAGCTCCTGCTGTGCCTGAGTCTTCTGCACCTCCCAGCACCTGTTCTGCTCCAGTCCTGCTCTTGCCTGGACTCTGCTTCCTAGATAGTGCTTGGTGCCTTTCTGGGTTATTCTGACATTCTTATTTTCACCCTGGCTCTAGCTAAATTGAGTATTGTCTCTGTCCTCATGAGGTCTTTGGTTATTAATTTTGGCCTGACTTGACCTCAGGTTCTTGACGCTTGCTTCAAGTCATTGCCTCAGTTGGCTTTGGCCACTGGGTACAAGGGTTCAGGACTCTGTCAGGTTGAGTAGCTTATCAGCATGTCCCCAGAAGAGACATCCTCACTCTGTCACCTAACCTCATCTCTCTCTTGCAAGGGTCAGTCTTGTCCCAGAGTGGGGCGACCTGGCTGTTGCCTTGAAGGTTTTCAGAATAAGTTTGGAAACCCACAAAACATTTCTGCTGCAAATGGCTCCAACAGTTTCTTCCCAGGTACTATTGCCTAAACAATTTGAAGAGGAATAACACATTTCAGAGTTTCCTCGGCCAATGCCACCTGCTTTTATTATTCTGCATCAAATCATGTATCTTCTTTGTGTTGTGGACAGCTGTTTGAGGACAGACAATGCAGCAGCATCTGAAGGTTGGCAATGTGTATTCTGCTTAAACTGCAGGCGTTTTTGCTCATTCTGTCTAGTTTCAGTAGCTCCAGAGGAGTCCATTGGTACACCCATGACACGTGCCCTTACTTTGGTGTTTGCTGTGCCTTTGTCACCAAGCCTAGGAGAAGTAGTCCAAGACATCCCAACTCACCCAGGAGTTTCAAGAAACTTTTTGGATCTAGACATAGCAAAATTTGTTGATTGCAATCTAGGACTGAGTAAGCCTTGATCTGATTGATGGGTCAGTACTTATTTCCAGACCAGCCACTTGGAAGACCAGTTTCCCCTGGGGGTGGTGTCTCAATTCAGGGATGGCTTGCAGGTGAGAGATTATTCTGAAGCTGTATTGCTATATACTTCCCACGTTCTTGTCATTCTGCTCATTACTGGTGACCTCCCCAGGGACTTGCCACTGCCAGAGAATGGACTACAACCATTTGTGCATCCTTATTAGAGTCATTTCTTATTTGTCAAGATAGATCAGATGCCAAACATCTACCAGCATTTGACAAAAGCTGTTGGGGTTGATGCAGAAGACCACGGGATGTGAGGCTGTGCAACAGCAAAAGCAGCAGCTGAAATTTGGGGAGCCGGTCAGGAAGGCAGGGAGACATCAGCCAGAAAAACCCTCAAGCTGCATGGCCTCAGAGGCTGGAGCTGGCTGTGCATTGCCTGGGTGCAGGCACTGCTCTTCTGACAGAAACACCCCGCTGGCACAAGACTCGTGAGCTGATGCA